TTGACATTTGACAGAGATAATTCAAAACTCTATCAGTTTAATGGTTAATGCTCACTTGAATAGGCAGGTCAATACTACCACACTTTGCCAGATTCAAGCTCAGACTGACATTAGTCTGAGATTCAAACTTCATTCCAATCAGAAATTTGCAAGCAAAGATGATTTCCCACAAATGAATGATAGATGGCGCTATAGCCAAACATTTGTCTTGTCTTGATTTAGAAATTGATTGAGTAGAAAACATCAATGAACAAGAAATCGCACATAAAAAAAGAATTGCAAATTTCGGTGTAAAGGCCTGTCAGATTTAACACGTACATGTACTTGTCGTTTCTTGGCACGTACGGCCAGAAAAGCCAGAATTCTCTCAGTAACAAACCAAGTCTAAGTGGAGATATTAACAAAACAGAGTGGGGATCAAGACCGAATATACGTGATTCCGGAGTTTCATAATAGATGATTTCTATTTATTATTGCACTTTCAAATACGAAAAATTTACGATATATATATAAATATAATCTCGTTAAAGGTTATTAGCATATTGTGTACGCAGTGCGCATGCTTCGGTCAATTTGTTCCGTATTCCACAACGCATGCGTCACCACAGTGAGGTCAACTGCAATTTACGTTTTATGTAATTGACGTTCAGCACCATCAATTAGGTGATTGACAAACCTCATTGACGATTCTGAACTTTGTGTTCGTATTCGAAGCCCGCACATAAGCGACACTACACAAGCTAACAAGCCACACCAACCCAGAGACTCCTCAGATAGCAACATATTTGTACACACTACCACCACGTCTTACGCTGTAATATGCAATTACAATTATTGTCCCCAAATAACACTGGGTTAACAATACCGTATTATAAAACATCATAATCGCTCATAGAAAAGAACAATACAAAACTTGTCTTTTTTTACAAATGCAGCGGAAATACGCAACCACAGTCAATTGTAGACAATTTATTCATGAAGATGTGCATATTTTTATTTTCATATTATTTAATAAGTGAATTTATAAGAACAATCAAATATACGTAAATGCTGCTTTCCATGACGTATATGTGTGTACTGCAACAATACGTTTCTAATTATTGGGGAGGGGTGCACAAAATTATACGATAATCATATTTGTTTTCAGTTGCAATAGTAGGTGAAGAAAAGTGGGTGAATTATTTATGCTTGAATTATTTAAGTTTTTTTAATGTTTCATACTTATTCAATTATCCATAATAAGTTACGAAGACAGGTAATTAAAAAATATATTAAGACCAAACTACTAAGTATAAATGATAGTGAAACTATTTCCAAATATTTTTTTCTGGAGATTAGATATTGACAAGGATTACACTGAGATGCTGACAATATTATCATGGGGAAATTTTTCTCCTCTGAGGGTCCTCCACACGTGTCAGGGGGGAATTTCGTCTTGTCTCTCTATCGCGTCCCCTTGAGGTACGGGATCGGGAAAGTCACTTAAACTTTACAGTCAAATAGACGCACACAACAAAATACGTTCCAACTGTCGTCTTAGTCGGTCAGTCGAGCACTCTATAAGACACAGCGCCTTGGGGAAAAGTCCCCAAGACTCACTAAGACTGACCCAAGACTCTCTCTAGACTGCGTCAAGACTCGCCCCAAGACTCTCCAGGACTCCGTCTGTCCTGGTGTACTCGCCAAGACCAACTCAAACTCTCTTTATTCACTTTCAAAACGTTAACCAATTACAAAGCAGTTAAAATACTCTTCAATCATAAAGCCAATCACACTAAGTACTGAACACGTCATATCTTTTGATTAATCGTTCACTACATTAATAACTGCGAATACTAACTGTCAGAAATAGTAGTCCGAATAGCGACGGTTATCTCGTAATTAGTTCCAAATCACTGAGCCAATTTCCGTGCAGGACATCGCATAGGCCTAAACGATACATAACACATAACATACATAACACAGCCATTCACTCGTAATCAACTAATTAAGTTGATCAACAGATACGTGCAAACATTTCATAACAATAAATCAAACTTTCAGCACGCCACGAAGTTTGGTTTTACCGCGCACGCGATTTGAAATTCAACTTTTTTCTATAAACTGGAGACACGCGTAATGGCTATTAAAGGCCCAAGTAGAGTATAATTGCCAAATATTTGTACTACATCAATGTAGATTTCACAAACTAGACACAAAAGATAATAACCATAAAAAAACAAGAAACTCCAACAAACTATATGGATGCTTCGTCGGACTATAGACGATGGCGTTTCGCGTGAAGGCATGATCATAAAATTATTAAATTCAAGGATAGCAGGTGACACATATTATTATAATTTAATAAAAGATATGTACAGCTAAGTAAAACACAAAATAAAACTTTAAGATGGATTAACAGAACAGTTCTCTTCAAAGACAGGTGTAAAACGGGGTTATAATCTGGACCCACACTGTCTAATATATTTATTAATAATCTTCCGATATGTTTGATGCAGCTACATGTCACCCGCCAATTTTTAAATAAAATAAAGTCAGTTGCCTGTTGTGCGCATATGACGTAGTTATCCTCTCTGAAACCAAATCAGGTTTATACAAAATTGTCTGGTCAATCTCGCATCCTACACAAAAAAAATGGAAACTAACGTTCTACACAGAGAAAACAAATATTATGTTATTTAATAAATATAACCGTATATTAAGTAATTTAATTTATAAATATATTTTGCTATAAGAAAAAAACAAAGCATAGTTTAAAATATTTTAATTAATAGTTTTGCCAAAAGCAATAAAAAAAGGGCCAAAGATGCATATTCGACTCAGACATATTATTAACAGCACTATTATCATTGTTTGATACATTAATTGAACCAATTCTAGTTTATTGGAGCGACGTTTGGGAGACACAAAATAGAACACATGTGAAGGATGTTCATTTGATTCTTTTGCTGTTTATAATTGGCGTGAAAAAAAACACCTCCATTATGAGTATGTATCGAGAACCGGGTAGATTCCCACTAGACACGTTTATCAAATAACAGTGAAATATTCCTACAATCGTGTTATAAATTCATTAAATACTAGTAAGCTGGAAAATGAAGCAGCCTTACTAAACAAACAACTGAAATGAAATGGTACAGTGTGATAACATACAAATATCAATCAAACTCAACCGATTGAGACAAACACTAACACTGCGACAACAAGTAGAATGACTGTGACTGCGATAAAGACTTTCCGTTTTCGACAATGTGAAATTAGGTCGAGGTGACTGTTTGTTAATTAAAATTGCCTACTTGAAACATCGTATTTGCATTGTGTCGAGTGTATTGCGTTGCTGACTGTAGGCTTTGAAGGTATACGGGTTACAAGTCTAAATATGGGTTGTACGTTACTGACGCTCCGATGCCCATATCAAAAATGCCAGAGTGCCTTTAGATACTCGTTGTAATGATTCACATTCAGGATGACTTTGGTCACTACTTATCCTGGTTGCTTCATGTTATATATATATATTTTTATATTTAGTGTTGTAAATATTAGGAATATTTCCTAATAAAGTTACTTTAATAAACTTCCGGTTTTTCAACGAGAAATAGTTATGTATTCATTATTTTTTACTATGTAGGTAGAGAGGCTAATTTCTAATAAATCTGTCATTTAGTTTTATTTATTAGATCTTTCACTCTAGTTTTCAAAGTATTCGACGACCCACCATTCCATCCCCGTTTTGCTGATTTTTTATTCTATTTTTCTGTATTGTTACTGTGTTTCTGATTGTTTTGTATAATCTTTCATGTTGTGATCGAATTCTTAAAAAAGTTACCGAACTTGTTGTGTATTCATATTTTTTTTATTTTAAGAGGCTAATTTGTTGTGAC